AGTCTCTCGACGGTATACACGACTGAGGAGAAACAAGAAGGACAATTGGTTTCGAGATGCTTCATTTAGCCGCGAGACAAACTCGTCATGAGATAAGGTAGACTCAAACTAAGATTCCCTGTTCTAAAATATGTATATTACGCTCATCGACGATAACGCTTCCGAGTTTCTCCTACTTGCTAGAATTACTCGTGTATAGTGATGTTGCTCGCGCATGCACGACCTTTCTCTAACACTCTTTGTCTTCCTTTCCTTCCCTTCCCTTCCCTTCCCTTCCATTCCCTTCCCTTTCTCCATTTGTTACTCCTTCGGAGGAAGTAAAATGGCTTCTTCTCTTCTTACCCGTACCTACCGGCTACAAGGCTTTCCAACTTGGCTAATTTCAAGAGTAAGTCCTACCAAGCCGAATACTAAACCCATTTCAATTAACTCGCGACGTTATTTGTCGTGAATTTCGAAATATCGTGAGCGTAAAGCTTCTAAATTTCTCAACGCTTTCGATCTTTGTTTCTAAAGTCGACGTCCGATTAGAAACATTCGGCTAACTTTAAACGATTAATCGTAATATACGAACCCTAACGAATAATCGATTGATCGAATTTACATTAAAATCAGCGTAATTCAATTGGATTACATTTGAATTCAAATATAAATTAAATTGTTTCAATGAATTATCTCTTAATACTGTTAATACGTATATTAAACATAAAATATAGAATAAATAAATAAAATACTAATAAAATGTATACAGGAACTGGAGGGTTTCTCAAGAAACTATAGTTTGAACCAAGGTGCACTTCGATTTACTTAAAATTAACAAGATAAGACGAACGTGCAAGAAGCAACGTATAATGGAAGATTAATTATTGTACGGTTTGCACCACACACTACACACAAGACTATGATATGTTATGTTCTGGTGCAGTATATGCGTAGCTAGAGGCGCTATTCGTATTCGAAGGCACGTTTCACCCATGTACCAAACGTCGCAATATTGCTCTCTATTCTCTCTCTCTCTCTCTCTCTCCCCCCCATAGCACGGTAGTTCAATACAAACTTATAAAGAGTTCACGCTTATCACCAACTAATTGTCATAGCTTTTTCCAACGACACTTCGGATATTAAAACGCTCACGGATACATGTGAAATCGAAATCACAGAGACTTTTCTTTTGTCAATGTGTAAAAAAATTCAAAAAAAAAAAAAAAGAACCAAATCCCCTGGTACTATTGAAAGGCTCATTTGAATTATCTTCCGTTCGTAAAACGCAAATAAGCGTTTTATTAAAAATATCACATTTATCCAAAGGGAATAAATGAATATTATATCGAAAGTCGGATAAACGTATCGATTATTTACGAGGAAGACAAAATGATTCGTTGATTAAATAAATATCCAGGATGATGCTTTTATTTGATTTTTCTTCTTTTTGTTTATTTATTGTTTCTCGTCTCTTTACGGTACAAAACGTAAATTACTTTTGGCTCTCAACACGAGGTAGGGTACAGTTAAATAAAACGACTAGTCCTTTTTACTGCAAGCCTTTTTAAATGACATTAACGTTAACTAGTTGGGAGGAGTGCCTAAATTACTCTCGAAAATATGGCTCGCATTCAGCACCCTCGTTCACCAAAGCGACATCGTTTATATATGTATATATATATATATATAATATATACGTACATATGAAATGGAACTAAATGATGAAATGTTGACAAATGTGACTGCTATATAGAACCCGTTACGTCTCAGCAGTCGATTGGAAAAGGATTACAGAGGAAGAAAATACGAAAATACTTCTAGGAAATATATCCTACTGGTAAAGAAATAGTATTGTCCGGGAACAATACTTTAGATTTTAGAATGATATCATCGAAAGTTGTAAAATAGTATGGTATCGATGTTGTTCCGATTAATTCTGCTTTCATGAGATACTCGGTTAATTCCACGAAGAGAAACACATTAAAGAAAACTTCAACTTCTTTCGTGTACTGTGACAAAAACATGAGCAAATCTTGAAATCGTTGCTCGTAGACAACAACCGGAACGAGAAATACGGAAACGCGTCGCGTCATGTCTCCCATCGTGTCGTGGAAACATGGGAAAAAAAAAGTGGACAATACTTTTGAACGTTTCTACCAAAGTCTTTTATCAAAGATAAAGAATGAAAGAAAGAAAGAAAGAAAGAAAGAAAGAAAGAAAGAGATAAATGAAAAAGAGTTTAAAATTCGTAAGAGCACTCAAGAATAAACGAATAGACGATGAAGTCTCGAGTCGTTCATTTCCGTAACGTCAAACACCTCGATCTTATTCGCTTTACCTCGGATTAATTATAGTAGATCGAGTTTTAGTTCAACATAAAGTTAACACAGCCAATTATCGAAGCTGCGCGTGTCCCTTCTGTTCTTAATTACCCTTCTAATGATGCTCTTGTCACCCGGTATTTTGAACACGAGAAGCAGTTCCTCTCTAACCTCCGTTCAAACTCATCTTTCGATACTTCATTCACGCGCATTTTAGATATTCAAGTCTTCTTTTCTTTTTTTTTCTTTTTTTTTTTTATTAATACTTTCTACGATCACGATAAAAAGACTATATACAAAATTTCTAATTCTAATTTTTATTCTCCGACATAACAAGTATCTTCTTAATTAGATCACGGAAAAGTTTAAATCTAATAAAGCTAGCCAATTATGAATACATTATTTAAAATAATTGTTATAATCAAATATAATTATAGCTTAACAAAGATTAAATACAGCGACAAAGGTATTTATAACTTTCATTAGAATTGCTACGTCGTTTCTTTCAGAAATAAAAAACAGAATACCTATTCTTCCTGCTCATTATGCTTGTAATTACGACGTCGTAATAAATATTATAATAATAATAATAAAAGTAAATAATAATAACAATACTGTTACAAGAGAAAACGCGTTTATCGTCTTCTTTTTTTTGCAATTGTTGTATCGTAATGATAATGCATTAAACTATTTTTTAATTTCGTATCGGATAGGATGTAATTTTATTGATCTCTCTCTTCCCTAGAATTAAAAAATATATTAAAAATTATAAGGAAGCCTTTTAATTTTTGTTCACTTTACGATAAATATTAAATGTAGCAACAATATTAAATTTATAAATAAATTGTCTGAATTTGTAATTAAAATTGTTAAACGTAATAATCTTGTCTAATACCTACGGGCTTAGAATTTCAAATGTCTTTAAAGAAATTTTTCTTCAAGAATTTAGAAACTTCATTTAATCTCTCTCTCTTTTAGTAACAAATTACAAAGTTCTACTCGCTCTACTGATACTTGGCACGACAGGTGGTACAACCGAACGGGAGGATGTTTCTAAGTATAAAAATAAGCCGAAAAAAAAAGAGTAACATTTTTATCGTGTGTAGCTTTGTTTTCGAAAAAATCTTATTTGAAACATTTTTCATTTAAGAACCTTCTATTGTCATCGGGATTATGATAATTATGAAAAGAAACTCACTTAATGAATTTTTGGCGACAATGGAAATCGTTGGTTACGATAATAAGCTGCCGTCGCTGCATCATCGTCACAGTTCAACTGATGGAAACATACTAAAGATAGGAGAAATAAATCAGACGGTCGAAGACAAAATGTAAACATTATAGAAGGCAACGAATAAGAAAGCGTAAACAAAATCTCGAACGAAAACATATTGCACTTTACTTTATCGATTTATTTTTATATTTAGAATTACCCTTCGTCTCCGGTTATACAATCCAGCATATAGATTTAAATTACTCGATTTAATTACTCGAATGTATAATAGCTTCGTTTAAACATAATTAATACAAAACTATATATATAATTATGTACAAAAAACACAACAATCTCGAAGTTTTCGTGAAAGTTTTCAAGCATTGACCATTGATGGCATATAGTGAAAGTAATTCATCGGTCATGTTTTATCTTATAACGCAACAACAATTTAATTACACGATTTCACGCACATAAAACGAACGAGTTATAGATTTTCGAGATTTTCTACTTCCAATGATTGTTTCATTCAAATACATGCACAATTAGCAAGCAGATCGATAGTGCATCGAACTTATGTATATACTATATGTGTTTTCAAGCTCTCACGTGCTTATATATATAACACACACATACTTAAAGATCCTCAAAGTATTTTAATAAATTTCACGAAGAAAGTTTGTCCAAAACACAGAAAGCAGAATCTTGTTTAAAGCATAAGTATTACTTTTATAGACCATAGTATATTTATGTACGTAGAAACAGCATATACAAAAACTCGTGAAGTCTAAAAAGAAGGGAAACATTCTTCTTCGTAGAAACAGATACACGCACTCTTTGAACCCATCTCGCGTGGAAAATTACATCTAACCGGGAAACTGTGAAACCGTAAGAGCATTAACGCTCTCATTTTATCCAGCCTCTCGATTTAATATTAAACAGCTAAGTTTGTCGGCGACATCATTCCGTTACTGAATCCACACGGAGTCGTATAATGCATGCAAAGTACGTCTCTCGATTATGCTACGGGTTATATCGGTGAAAAAAAAAAAGAAAAGAAAAAAAAAATAGCCAAAGAAAGGAGAGAAAAAAGAAGAGAAAGAAGAGAGAGAATAAGATATGACAGGGGAAAAAAAAAATCGGTCGCGATAATATATTATACTTGACTAAAATCCCAAGAGAAAATAATCCCATACGAATATAATGGACAAATATGTTTTCCAATATTTCCATCATCGAGAATGATCTCGTCAAAATTGATCCCTTTCGATTTTTGATTTATCTCTATTATTGGCACAATCATTTATTCTTCTTTTTTCTTTTTTTCTTTCCTTTCTTTTTTTATTTCCATTATAATATTATAATAAATAAATATATACGAGAGATAACGATAACCTCGCGTTAATAGCGTGAAACGAGCAGGAAAAAGACTCGTTAAGTTAAGCTTGCAGGATAGTAAATTTGAAAGATTTGTTTGAACTTACGACGTCGATTATTTGCATAAGCGTAAGGCCGAAGCTCAAGACGAGGGGGTCGGACTCGTTTCCCACCGGCCGCTCCAGGACGTTATACGCATCCAGCAGATTTGACAGCAGCCGCTTCTCGTGACTACCGCCGCTTACCAGTCCTGCCCAATTTACATTTACAGTAAGAACTTTTTCATCGATTCCTTAACTATTGGGCCCTTATCGTCCTATCCGACGAACTCGTAACGAATTCTCGTTATTATTGCGTTTCGATGATAATCATTCAAATGGGGGGAGGGACGAGGGGGTTGATAAGATTAATGAAATAGAAATGAAATAACAAAAATATGAATTAATCAATAATGCGTATAAATGTTTATATATGTAAATATATATTTTATATATATATTGTATATTTATATACTTCCGAGCGGGCAGTTCTTATTCGATTAGGTCAGTGGTTTTCAAAGTATTTGCCTTGGCGCCTTGGGCAGCCGCGATTTTCTCACTTGGGCGACAATATTACACAATTTTCACGAATAAAATCTATATTACGCCAAAAAAGATTTGGGAACCACTGGATTAGAGGATTCGTTCGTTAAAAAAAAATAATCAGGCATGTCAAAGGCTAGAGAAAATATATATTTAAACTACAATTGAGATAGTAAAAGATATATTCGTACACGCCTAGAAATTGTATCACATTGCGTAGTAAAAATTCTTCATTAAATGAAATACACAGGATATACATCAATTGTTTTATATTCTATGAAGATAAAAGGTAAATGTATGTTCTCGTGGATAAATATTATAATAAGTGTGTAAAGATACAAATTGTCGAAAAAATAAATAGTTCAATCTTCGGCGTATCATCTTACATAGAACTTGGAACACGCGAAAATTTACTTTTATCGTACAATCTTTGAAAATCCTTTCGAAAACAGACTTATCTTAAGCACTACGTTCTACCTTACGAATTTCCTCGTCTTTTCGCGAATGTAACTTCGTCATCGCCTTCTATTCTTTCTCTCCCTTTTTGCCTCCTTTTCTACCACTTTTTCTTTTCCTTTCTCTTTTTATTTCTCTCTTTTACTCTCTGTCTCTCTTTCTTATTCTTTCACTCTCTCCCCATTCTCTCTCTCCATCGTATTTTTACTACTCTCGAGAACGACAAAGAAAAATATCTTATCTAATATCTACAAATTGATCGTATTCCAAAATTGGAAGGTATGCGGAAAAATTCTTTCCCTACAATCTCCGTGAAAAAAAAAGAAAAATAAAAAAAAACAAGAAAAAAGAATAAAAATGAAATATGAAATATAAATAAATAGGCTTGATCGTAAAATGTATATACGAACGTGAATGAATATTATTCCAATGGAAAAATATATTGTGTTATTAATAAATAGAACACACGAATACTCCTGAGAACTCGTTGTTTATTCACTATCAAAATTGAAATTAAATTATGTTCCAACAACAAATCGAATAAACTTCGAATAGTTAACTAGTCAATTTTAAAGTTTAGATTAGTAAATTCCTTATTTAATTAAACATTCAATCTTTAGTTTTGTGATGATAAAATTGATCGCGAAGGTCCCCTTGGTTAAATAATTTAATTCAGTTTAATTAACCTGCCGCTTATACTCGGATTGGGTGAATAATAGTTAGTGCGCGCTTGACTCTTAAACCAAACGGAATGAATTAGTCTCAAGGATTGGTCTTAACTCGACTATTTAAAAATTGAGAGCAACCGAAGTACCGAGTTCATTACCGATAAAAATTTATGAGCGCCCTTATTTTACGAACTCTAGATCGAAAGTGGAACATCCGATCGGCCGCAAAGATGATATCAGATTATTCGTTTATCCATTAACAACGCGTATTTATTAACACACATTTTGAAATATCGTATCTATCCTTTTTTTATTTTTTGTTTTTTTTTTTTTTATTTTCGGTTACTCGATAAATCTGAAATTTCTTCGAAATAAACTAGAAACGTGGATTTGAATAACGACCTGACGTTCTTTCAAAACTTACTTTTCACTCCGTATTCTTTATATCCACAGAAATCAAGATCGCGGAGTCAAAGTTTCACGAGCTATGTTGTATTTGAATGTGAGAAATGGATTATCTGATGTTTCGTCTCCGAACAAACCGTGATTCATGATAGTTTACACTTCCTTATCGGGGATTTCGTAACGTAAATTTCGTAATAAATTATCCTTTTACAAAAATTGATACGCACGTAAGGATTTTCTTCACTGACCCAACAAGTTACTTCCTAACTTTTAACGAAAAAATACAAAAAAAAAAATGGTACGAAATAAAAAGATGTCTCAAGTTGAAAGAAGACGAATGATGATACTTTTCTTTCGTATTTTTTCCTTATCTCTCTTCGTATATACGAGTAAGTAGCCAACGTTTGAACATGTAACCGCAATGATAATAATATTTCAAGTCAGGATATACTACTATACATTTCACATCATAAATATATATATATGTTTTGTTAACAACGGAACACCGTATCTGATTACTACAGAATTTTACTGTAAAAAAAAAAAAAAAAAAAAAGAAAAAAAAGAAAAGAAGAAGAAAAAAAAGTTGCTAGGTAGAAATCAATAACCTCTCGCTTCTCCCTTACAACTGATATTTTTATACGACGTTAAAAATATTACATTAAACGAAGGCAGAAAACTTAACCGTTGGAAAAAGGGCTGACGCGACTTTTATGAAAAGAAATTGTAGTTAAAACGAATAACCGAACGAACGATAGGATGTGTACTTATCGATACGATCTGAAGATGTAGGTACTTATATTTTCTAACAAAAATTACTACTTATCGCGTCATAAGAAAAGTATAAAAAACAAGTTTAAATAATATTTAAAAATGTAGTCGAGGTTTATACGCGATGATAATCTTGTTACTTTAGATAGAACATATATCACTTGTTACATTGATTTATAAGAATATGAAACCAACAGACAAGCATCGATAATATTATCTCAAATACAAAGCTTAATAAGCACATACAACAGGTGAGATCATAATTATCTTATTAGCAGAAATTTCAGAATTACGGGGTGTACGTCTTAAAGTGCTGAAAACCAAGGACAGATGTCGCAGTAGTTAATGAACGAACGAGTCAGACGAATGCAGAGTTCATAAGACATTGATCTCTGATTAGATTCTCAAGACCGTCGGTTTACGTGTGCGAATGTATGAGCAAGAACACGTTTTTGCATTAAAGAGAAAAGAGAGAAATAGTTCCTTTGAAATACGAAAAGTAGAGAATTTACGAATTAATGCAGAAAGCGCATACGCAATTTAAGACAAAGAAATGAATTCCTGAATATGGTAGAAAATTTATTTAAATACACTAGGCAAATTTAATCTATCCGAATCGTACGAAACTTACTTAAATAGAAATCGAATACGTTTATCGAGCTTAAATATTCCATTACAACTTGCAAATAATGGAAAGGAAATTACTTAGAGACGCTGTTCAATTTCTTTCCACCCTCCCTCCCTCCCACCTTCTCTCTCTCTCTCTCTCTCTCTTTTTCTTTATTCTCTTGGAGACCACTCAACGAAATTTCCTATACACTAGTATCCTTTCTAATATTCTAACTCGTCGCTTTGATCACACCTTGTGTCTACCTACGCGGCCATGACTTTGAACGTTCGTGGTCGATTAAGGCGCAAATTTGCCATAAAAATCGGATCTGCTCCCATAGAATTTATAACGTTTATAACACTCGCGCATGACCATAGAAATATATACCACACACGTGTATATACATATACCTACAAACGTATACATACAAAGTTGGTCTATTCGATGTATTAAATTGGCTCGTTGCAACAACGAATTTCAAGAATGATTTGTTTGAAAAAAACCAACCACTTGACACTTTTTCCATACTCTAAATGCAAGTACAAAAATCATGTTATTCAGTGCTACAGAAGTTCAGTTTTGTATAAAGATTTTCGCAATTTTCTTATCGTGTTATAGCGAGACCGTGTTATAGGATGCCGTGTTTTAGGTGAGCTACTTGTATTATATAACATAGGAAAAATATTAAAATATATTTCCTACCAATTTAAAAGAGTAATATTAATGAAAAGAAAACCAATTTCTAATTTAACCACCAGACTGCTATTATTTATTTCGTTTTCATTACGATTTCTGTTAAAAGAAAAGACTCTGACGAGGGGGTGAATTGAAAAGGAAGATTACAAAACGAAGAGAAATTCGTAAAAGAATTTTTATTTCATTTCCTAAACGTTTTTTTAAACATTTAAAAACAATAACTGACGATTCATTATGAACAACACTCTTACTGTATAAATAATCTTTTGATAGAATTTTTCATAACTCAGAAGAAATCCAAAAGTTTTGCACATTTATTATTTTTTGTAATTTTATAGTTATTTCATCGTTGAAGTATAAAATTTTATCTTCTTTCATCT